GGGTTGAGGGCGTTTGGGGTTTAGGGTTGAGGGCCTTTAGGATTTAGGGTTGAGGGCCTTTAGGGTTTGGGGTTTGGGGTTTAGGGTTTAGGAGTTTAGGGTTTAGGGTTTAGGATTTTAGGGTTTAGGGTTTCGGGTTTAGGGTTCCAAGAATATAGGAACTACGGTTGATGATATAAATCCTGCATTGCCCATACTAAGGAATATACCATACTTCCCATAGTTCAGGGTCCTTAAGGCAATGCAGGTTTTATATCATCAGCAGTAGTGAAGTTAAAAAAGGGGCTTTAATAATTAGAACAGTGTTTGCGGGGGGAGGGGGGGGGGTATATGTTTGGGGGGTCGATTATACTATCAAGGTAGTAAGGAACCCCATAACCCTATTCTAACTATTAAAGCCCCTACATTATATCAACTTGACCTTGATTGTGCATGTCTGTCTTTTGTTTAAAGCCCCTTGCTTCCGTCGGCCTTAGGGCTCAGGTTTAGGGTTTAGGGGTTTAGGGTTTGAGGGTTTAGGCTTCCCAGATTCTATGGCGAAGGGCGAATCCGGGTTGCAGTTGGCTGTTGCTCTGAAGTGGGAGGAGGGATCTGGATTGAATGCTCCGGCGAGGTTTGACTGTCCCTATCCACAAAACACAACAACCCTAAACCCCAAACCGGGGTTTAACACCAAAGCCCATCTTAGAACAAAAAAGCGAGGGACCCACCAAGCAAGGCGCTACGAAGACCGTCGACTCAGGGCTGACAAGGCTTACGGCAGGGTATATTATAGTATACTCTCTCTCTCTCTATATATATATATATGTATGTATGTATATAGTGAATAAAAAACATTCTAGTATAGTATTTCTCGTCCATCTTAGTATATTCGAGCATATTCTAGTATAGCATAAGGAGTGAAGGCTCAGGGCAGTCAAGCTGCCAAAATCCATGTGAGTCGCTGCTGGGGCGAATCCAGCTCCTGTGTCGGCATGCACGGTTTAGGGTTTTGGGTTTAGGGTTTAGCTCACATCCCTGCAAAGCCCTCGTGTTGATGCAATGTGGCACTGCCGATTATCTCACCACCGAAAACCATGTCCCAAAACTGTTCTGCAACAAGTCTCCGTCACGCTGGATCTGCTTGATAGCGCTTGCAGGCACCATCTTCGTCCGGAGCACCCCTGAAGCAGCTGAGAACAACGCAATCGAAATGGGATAAAATGTCTTGACAATGCATGTGCAGGCCCTAAACCCTATAGCCTTAAACCCTAAACCCTAAACCCTAAAACCCTAAAACCCTGAAACCCTGAACCCTAAAACCCTAAGAGTGTGGGCATCAGATGAGGCGCCTTTCAAGTCCACGAAGGCAACCAGGAAGAACTCGATGCCTCGCTCCTGTTGGGTAGGGTTTAGGGTTTAGGGTTTAGGGTTTAGGGTTTAGGGCTTAGGGCTTAGGGTTTAGGGTTTAGGGTTTAGGGTTTAGGGCTGTAAGTAGGGGTACACGTGCAGTCAGTGCCACTTTGTCTAAGGCGGAGGCACCGTAAATCATCATTATCTGTTGTAATATAGGGGCCTTAATAATTACCTATACCATTTTGGGGGTTTCTTTTTCATAAGTATAGTAATAATATACCCTAATGACCCCATTCTAATTCTTAGGGCCCTAAACCCTAAACCCTTATAGTAGCCCTTGTAGAACCCTCTAAGGAACCTTTTAAAGGAACCCCGCAAAACCCTATTCTACTTATGAAGGCCCCTACACTCGGCTGTTCCCCCTAAACCCTAAAACCCTAAACCCCTACACTCTAAACTCTAAACCCTAAACCCTAGACCCCTAACCCCTGAAGCCCTAAAACCCTAAGCCCCTACACTCGGCTTTCTCCCGAGGCGTCGGCTGCTGCCACCTCTGACAAGTTTGCATCCGAGGCCAACTTCGCCTCAGCGGAGGAGGCTCTGGCGACTTGAGGCGAGTCGAACTTCTTATAATGTCGGGTT